ATTAAGCACTTTGCTTAACCATCGGTCCAAAAAAAGGGCTGCAGACAGATGTCACTCCCATCACTTCTCACCGCGGCCATCGTACGTCTGGTCTGCCTTTTTCCTCCCACCTCTTGGGAGCTCAGGATGGGAGAGAAGGGGGAAATAAAACACCCCGCTTTTAATAGTATGAAGTGATGAGTTTATTTAAACGTATCTAATTACCGGTGTGCTATTGATTGGTCTGGAAGAGCCATTAGGCAGATACGATTATGTCAGTAAATGTGGACGACCTTGAAACACAATCTATCTCCCAACGTCGAACTTTTGTGTGACTTTTAAGAAGTCCTTGTTAGGGCCTGAAAAACTCACCTTCAAGAAGCCAGAGAGAGGAACACGGCACCCAGGTTTTTCCAAAACTTCTTGAAGCTTGAATCTATCACTGTTGTGGCCCGTACGCATCCTGTGCAGCTAGTAGCTGATTCAGACAGCGAGGAGGCTGGTGTGGTGCTGCGCCAGCAGCCTGTGCAGCTGGCACTCGAGTCGGACAATGAGGAGGCTGGAGAAGATGTGGTGCCAGAGGCAGAGACTCAGCCAGGGCCTTCAGAACCTCCAGAAGCTCCCATAAGTGAAGAGGACGAAGAGGAGGAGCCTCTTCTCAATGCATGGGGGCGCAGAGCTGCCAAAAGTCAGGAGTGGCTCCTCAGGAGGAGGTCTCCTCAAGAGTAAGGCTTGGGGCTAATTGGCCACTCCCCTAGCCTATTTAAGGAGGAATGCCGACTGAAGCAATTTGCAGGGAACAACTTATTTTCACACACCTTCGTGTCTTGTCTTACTTATCTTATCAGCTTCCTGCAAATTGCTTCTGGGCATTCTGACAACCACAGTAAGCTTTCAGTTATTATTCTTTGAATTCTTGGCGGCTGTTAATGCAATTAATTAACAGCCGTTGTTGTAAAAGACTGGTTTATTCAGTAAATTAAGGTTTGAATGGACTTTGTGTGTGCTGCGTTCTTTGGGGTCCGTAGCTGGGGCAGAACACATTGAGACCTGAGTTTGGCTGTTGTGATGGTACCTGTTTCCTTTCAAATGTCCATCATCTTTCTGTGGTATGACCTCCCCCCCCACTTCTGCCCCATATTCATTAGCAGTGTGGGAGGGAAGTAAGAGTCACAACTCACTAATGATCGAAAGAATTCCTGGGTCAGACCGCCAATATATGTCAGGTTGCATCTACAGGTAAGTTCTCGACTTACGACCACAATTTTCTTTTCCAAAGCGAGGGAGGCAGTTCTTAAGTGAATTTTCCCCATTTTATGACCTTTCCTGCCTCCGTTCTTAAGCGAATCACTGCTGTTGTTAAGTGAGTAACACGGTCATTTAGCGAATCTAGCTCCCCCCCCCATTGACTTGGCTGGTTAGAAGGTCGCAAAAGGGGATTGCGTGACCCCCGGGAACTCTCGAACCGTCGTAAATATGAGTCGGTTGCTAAGAATCTCAATTTTGATTCCGTGCCGCGATGGTCGTAAGTGTAAAATAACGGTCATAAGTCACTTTTTTCAGTGTCATTGTAACTTTGAACGGTCGCGAAGTGTACTGTTCAGGACTACCTGTATTGTGAAGAAATGCCTTTCTGTGTTTTCCTTCTCATGTAGTAAGACAACACTTTGGGCCCATTGCTTTAGCTCTACTTTTTTCTACCTGGACTTTTCAGGATCATAGAATCATAGGCTGGAAGGGACCTTAGAGGTCTTCTAGTCCAGCCCCTTATTCTTAAGCCATCCCAGACACAGGGTTCGGCAATCTTTTCTTGAAAACCTCCAGCGATGGAGCACCCACAACTCCAGGAGGACATCTCTTCCATTACAGATAGAGATACAAATTAACAGAGTTCGAAGGGACCTTGTAGGTCATCTAGTCCAACCCCCTGCTGAAGCAGGAGACCCTACACCATTTCTGACAGATGGCAGTTCAGTCTTTTCTTGAAAGCTTCCAGTGATGAAGCTCCTGAAGGCAACTTCTGTTCCATGGGTTGATTGTTCTCACTGTCAGAAAATTCCTCCTTATTTCTAGGTTGAATCTCTCCTTGGTCAGTTTCCATCCATTGTTCCTTTTCTGGCCTTCAAGTGCTTTGGAAACCAGGTTGACCCCCTCCTCTCTGTGGCAGCCCCTCAAATATTGGAAGACTGCTATCATGTCTCCCCTGGTCCTTCTCTTCACTAGACTAGCCATGCCCAGTTCCTGCAACCGTTCTTCATATATTTTAGTCTCCAGTCCCCTCATCATCCTGGTTGCTCTTCTCTGCACATTTTCTAGAGACCCAACATCTTTTTTCTAGTGTGGTGACCAAAACTGGATGCAGGATTCTAGGTGTGGCCTTACTAAGGCTTTATGGAGTGGTATTAGTACCTCCCTTGACCTTGATTGTATCCCTCTGTTAATGCAATTTAGGATTGCATCGGCTTTTTTGGCTGCCACTGCACGCTGCTGGCTCATATTTAATTGGTTGTCTATTGATTATTATTTTTTTAAATTTGATTTATATGCCGCCCTTCTCCGGAGACTCAGGGCGGCTTACAATGCGCTAAGCAATAGCCTTCATCCTTTTGTATATTTATACAAAGTCAGCTTATTGCCCCCACAAACTGGGTCCTCATTTTATCTACCTTAGAAAGGATGGAAGGCTGAGTCAACCTTGAGCCTTGGCGAGATTCGAACCCTGCAGTAATTGCAGGCAGCTGGTCTTAATAACCAGCTTAATAACAGGGTGCCTTAAACCCCTGTACTACCAAGGCTCATTTGTCCTGGACTAGGCCGGGCTATCAACATAACAATTTTAAATTGGGTTTTAAATTCTTGGGGTTTTAAATTGAGCCGAATAATTTTAAATTATTTTAACTGATGTTGTCTTGTGTTTTTAATAGGCTGTACACTGCCCTGAGTCCTTCGGGAGAAGGGCGGTGTAGAAATAAAATTATTCTTATTCTTATTCTCATGGTCAAGAATTTCCTTCTTAGTTCCAGGTTGGATCCCCTTTGCAACACCTTCCATTGTTTCTTCTCCTGCCCTTGATGGTTTGGAGCTGCCTATATAGTGTCAGGGACTATATATATATATAAGGACATGGTGGCTCAGTGGCTAAGACGCTGAGCTTGTCGATCGAAAGGTTGGCACTTCAGCGGTTTGAATCCCTAGCGCTGCCAAATGGAGCGAGCTCCCGTTACTTGTCCCAGCTTCTACCAACCTAGCAGTTCGAAAGCACATAAAAAAAATCGAGCCGTGTCCGCGGCTCAACACACGAGCTGCAGACGAAAACTGAAAAACGCGGAAGAGAGGGAACCCGGGTGGGCGGCACACAAATGTGGTGACTCAAAACGCAGCGAGAAGACACGGGGGTGGGCGATGGGGGTGACAGGACACAAAAGCATGGATGGTGGTGGTGGTGGCACTGGGTGATCGATCGGATCGGGCTGAACTGGACTCTGGGTGCTGCCAGATGACGTCGGGAGGGGCGGGGAGCGACGAGCAAGCGGGTTGTTTGATCCAGCTGTTTGAACAGCTGAGACAGCCGACACCGAGTGCTTACACGGCTTTAGGGACATGGCATTTCCTTGAAAACGGGCACTGAGAGGCGAAAGCTCTCAGAGCCGACTTTGAATTTGTACAGCTCAGCTTGACTTGTAGCCAGCTTGTAGCATTATTATTATTATTATTATTGGTTAATCTTTAGTGAGATTCACAGCCTTTGAGGCTGGTTAATAGCTCAGCAGCTCGAGTCCTAACCAAGGACCTAGGAACTGTTAAGGTCTCGTCGGAGGATGTAAGCTGTTCCGAGTAAGGTGGTTTTTTGTAGAGTCAAAATGTTCAAGTCCGGCAAATTTAGAATTTCTAAATAGCGGGGTAGCCCTTTGGGTATTGCTCCGAGGGCTCCAATTACAATCGGGACAACACACGATTTCTTTTTCCACAGTCGCTCAACTTCAATTTGCAAGTCCCGGTACTTTGTGATTTTTTCTTGCTGCTTATCTTCAATCCGTGCATCACCAGTTATTGCAACGTCAATGAACCATACTTTTTTCTTTTCAACTATTGTTATGTCAGGTGTGTTGTGGACCAAGTGCCTGTCAGTCTGAATCCTAAAGTCCCACAAGATCTTGAGTTTCTCATTCTCTAAAACTTTCTCAACCTGATGTTCCCAGTGGATTTTGCTGTACTCAAATCCAAACTTCTGGCACAATTTCCAGTGAATGATCTTAGCAACGCGGTCATGGCGTTGTAGGTAGTCAGTTTGTGAAATTTTGCTGCACCCACTGATCAGGTGTTGTTGTTGTTGTTGTTGTTGTTGTTGTTGTTGTTGTTGTTGTTATTATTATTATTATTATTATTATTATTATTATTAGTCATATTTCTATGCCACACATTCTCCGAGGACTCTGGGCAGCTTACAACAATCGACAGTATACTAAATAGCATATTTCCCCCAACAATCTGGGTCCTCATTTTACCCACCTCGGAAGGATGGAAGGCTGAGTCAACCTTGAGCTGGTGAGATTTGATCCGCTGAACTGCTGAACTAGCAGTCAGCTGAAGTAGCTGCAGTACTGCACTCTAACCACTGCGCCACCTCGGCTCTTCTGCATGAATAAACCCACATCTGACAAACATTCAATGTTTTGTAGGTTATTTGTGAGGGCTAAGCACAAGTGTGGCCAAGCAGCTGAGAAAAAATGCAAGTAGAAAAATAGGGACCACCTTGGTGGGAAGGTAACAGCGCTCCGTGCGCCTTTGGCGTTGAGTCATGCCGGTCACATGACCATGGAGACATCTTCAGTTGGCGCTGGCTCTTCGGATTTGAAGCGGAGATGAGCACCACCTCCTAGAGCCTGAAATGACTAGCACACATATGTGGAGGAACCTTTACTTTATATAATGTCAATGCACCTTGGAGGGCACTAGAGCCTTCTCTTGCTTTGGTATGTGATGGCTGATGTATTTTCTTTCCCCCCTGTGCTAATTCTCAGGTGGATGGAATCCTTGGTCAACGTGGGGCGAGTGCACCAGGGACTGTGGTGGTGGCCTTCAGACTCGGACCCGAACATGTCAACCTCTTCCCGAAGAAGGTCTTGTCTGTGAAGGAGTCTTGGAAGAAGGGAGATTATGCAACAGGAAAGCTTGCAACCGTAAGTCACCATGGCTTCTGAAGGAACCTCTTAGCAGGTTCTCCTGACTGTCCATCAGGGATAAACCCAACAGAAAGCTCTTTGCCTCTTGAAAGAGGCAACTGGACTTTCTGGTTTTCCTTTGAAGACGTTTCGCTTCTCATCCAAGAAGCTTCTTCAGCTTTGACTGGAGGGTGGGGAATGGAAGGATTTGTATTCCTTGCAGACAGCTGGTCATTTGCATTTTTTTTAGAGAATTGTTGAGGCCACCTAGAGGTTTATCTGTGTCCTCAGGGTCGCCTGGTTTGAAAGAGAGGTCAAAGAGGTCATCTATGTCAAAATAGAACAGCCTTCTCTTAAACAGAGGGGTAGGAATATGACACAACCTATCTCCTGTCTACAACACGGTCCTTTCAACTGTTCCAAGAAGGCTCCACATTCATTTGCACCACTCAAGTGACCCTGAGGACACAGATAAACCTTCAAGTGGCCTCAACGACCCTCAGAAAGGATGCAAATGACCAGCTGTCTGCAAGGAGTATCAATCCTTCCATTCCCCATCATCCGGTCAGAGCTGAAGAAGCTTCTTGGATGAGAAGGGAAATGTCTTCAACGAAAAACCAGAAAGTCCAGTTGCCTCTTGAAAAAAGCACCTTTGGGATAAGCATGACCTGGAGGACTGAGAATCTCCATAGACAAAAAGCTATTTGCTTAAATAAATGCATATAATTTGGAATGCAAACTTCTCAATGCAGGAACTTTCTATGAGAGCAACTACATTGTTCAGAATATAGATCCTTAACTGCAGACATTCCTCTGTTCTTCACACACAAGGTGAGTCTAGTTTTGGTCACCACGATAGGAAAAAACGACAACTTGAGACTCTAGAAAGAATGCAGAGAACAGCAACAAAGATGATTAGGGGACTGGAGGCTAAAACATATAAAGAACAGTTGCTAGAATTGGGCATGTCTAGTTTAATGAAAAGAAGGTCGACATTATAACAGTGTTCCGATATCTCAGAGGTTGCCACAAAGAAGAGGGGGTCAACCTATTCTCCAAAGCACCTGATGGCAGAATAATGAATGGAAACTTATCAAGGAGAGAAGGAACCTAGAATTAAGGAGAAATTTCCTGACGGTGACAACAATTAACCAATGGAACAGAACTTTCCTCCAGAAGTTGTGGTCAATCCAACACTGGAGGTTTTTAAGAAGAGATTGGACAGCCATTTGTCCAGAATACTATAGGGTCTCCTGCTTTTTTTTTTTTTTAATTTGATTTATATGCCGCCCTTCTCCGGAGACTCTGGGCGGCTTACAGTGCGTTAAGCAATAGCCTTCATACTTCTGTATATTTATACAAAGTCAGCTTATTGCCCCCACAAACTGGGTCCTCAATTTACCTACCTTAGAAAGGATGGAAGGCTGAGTCAACCTTGAGCCTGGCGAGATTCGAACTTGCAGTAATTGCAGACAGCTGGTGTTAATCACAATGCTATCAGTCTGCTGAGCCACCAGGCCCTTGCTTGAGCAAGGGCTTGGATTAGAAGACCTCCAAGGTCCCTTCCAACTTGGTTATTCTATTATTCTCTCTGTATCTTACATTTGCCATTCCTATTGCTGCACGAGACAATGAGACAACCAATGAGTGGCTTGTATGCAATTAAAAAAAGTTGAAATATTCTGATTGGATTCGGGGGTTGTTATTCTGAGCCGTTCCCCATTCGCATTCCAACTGTTTGCTCTCTTCTTAAGCCCAAAGGGATTTATGTTCTTCAGCTACCGATTATTTATGTATTAATTCATAATAAATGCTTGCATTTATTACAATCTTAAAGTGTGCAAGCATGTTTCCCCAGAGGTAATTAGAAGTAATTAGGAACAGAAAAGCAAACCAAAGATAAATGTAAAGCTGTAGATCTAACCCCCACACTCCAATCTAGAAGAGAGCAAGAAAAAAAATTGTTTATTAGATAGGATTAAATCTTGGTTCTGGATCTCAGCTGTACACCAGTAGATCAGACAATATCCTACTGCTTAATTGGAAAAGCCATGAGGGAATCTCAAAAATGCTTTTTGGTGCACCACAATTGGAAAGCGAGACTCTCGGGCATTGCCAAGTCAAGAAGAAAATCAAAGTTAATTGTTGTCCTTCAAGAATTATGCCCCAGTGCCTTAGTCTGTAGAGATTCTCAGTCATCTTTTGAAAGAAAAAGATAAAGAAAAGAAAAGAAAAATCCTAGAAAGTCCAGTTGCCTCCTGAAAAAGCACCTTTGGGACAACCATGACCTGGATCAGAGGTGAAATCCAACAGGTTCTGGAGAACCGATAGTGGAAATTTTGAGTAGTTTGGAGAACCAGCAAATACCACCTCTGGCTGGCCCCTGAGTGGGGTGGGAATGGAGATTTTGCAATATCCTTCCCCTGCCACGCCCACCAAGCCACACCATGCCACCAAGCCACACCCACAGAACCAGTGGTAAAAAAAAATTAGATTTCACCACTGACCTGGATGACTGAGAATCTCTATAGACTAAACACCGGGACATAATTCTTGAAGGACAACAATTAGCAGCTATACAATTTGGGATGAACACCCTTGGAATGGCATGAGAACAGGAATGGATTTCCAGAGAGAGAGAAATTGCAGACTACAGGAACCAGGAGCACCACTCAGGTGACCCTCAGGACACAGATAAACCTCCAAGTGGCCTCAACGACCCTCTAAAAGGATGCAAATGACCAGCTGCAAGGAATATCAATCCTTCTATTCCCCACCATTCAGTCAGAGCTGAAGAAGCTTCTTGGATGAGAAGCGAAATGTCTTCAAAGAAAAAACAAGAAAGTCCAGTTCCGCCTGAAGAAGCACCTTTGGGACTCCCAGTGCCATAGTTTGTACAAATAATGTCAGATAAGTGTTGTGGCTCCGTCCTCCCAGCCTATCTTATTGGAGGGAGAAGGCTCTGAGCATGAAGGAGAGGAGACAGCCAGGCCTCCCTCTCCAGGACCCTCCTCTCTGGCAATGCCTCAGGTGTCTCCCGAAGGAGAAGAGATTGGCCAGGAGCCAGGTCTTTCCGAGCCGTCGGATAGTGACGAAGAAACATTGTGGTTGGACCCATGCCAGCGTCGGAGAGACAAGCATGCGCAGCAGAAAAGGAGGCATGCCAGAGATTAAGCTGAGTCACTGGACCACACCCAACAGGCTATAAAAGGGAGTGTGGTGGCCATTCGGACTCTGTGACTGACAAAGCTAATCTCTGGCGAGTCACTTTGCACCTTTGGACACAACGCCTATTTGCTGTGGATTTAATTACAAACTGGACTATTCAAGCTGTGTGTATTTTTGTCTGTGTTATCAGAGTAAAAGTTCTTGGCAGGCATGGGGACTCCTGGAAGGAGAAGGGTGGGGCCAACCAGTAATTTAACTATCGGTTTGCCCGAACTGACCCGAACCGGCTGAATCCCACCACTGTCTATAGGGTGTGAAGAGTCAGACATGAGTTAGGAACTAAACATCTCTGACAGATGACAGTCTAGTCGTGTTTAAGATCTCCAGCAAAAGGGAGTTCTTTAGTTCATACGTTACCCTGTTCATGTTTCTCAGGTTCAAGAACTTCCCCCTGATGCCTATCTTGAATCTCCTGCCTTGTCATTTTAATTCACTGATTCTGGCCTTGCCCTCTGGACCAAGACAGAAGGTCCATTCCTTCTTCTGCATGCTAAACCTTCTGGGTTTTTTTTTGGGGGGGGGGGAAGTATATTTCCCCTTCTGTGTATCATCTGCAAGCTTCATGCGAGCAGATGGTTTCATCATTCCGTATCTCCTGAATTTGCTCCAGTTTTGAATTGCAGGGCCCAGAACAGGACACAAGACTCCAAATGGAGTTTAACCGTGATCAGTTAAATCTCTGTTGCTCAGAAGGCAGAGAGGAACTCGCACTTCATCTTACAAATGAGATCAAATTCCCAACGTCTTCAGTGCTAGTGTATAGTTGTATAGAATGTGAAGGATGTGTGTTTTTCGATTTATTTTTATCGTTTTCTTATGTATGATGTACACTGAAGAGAGCATTTAATTTCATTGTACGAGGTGCAATGACAACAAAGTGAACTAAACTAGTGAGGATGGGGTTTGCTTGCTCTCCCAATACGGATGGAGGTGTGATAGGTGGCTCCTTGATTATAGCATTAATTTCTGCAGGATTATTCTCTGGTGTCGATCCTAATTTATATGAATGTTGGCTGCTGGAGGGGATGTACTGGCCTGATTCCATGTTGGTTTTAACGTTTGATACTGATTTTTAATTGAAATGTTTTAAATTACGGGCCAAATTTCATTTAATTATTTTTAAAAATTATTTAAACTTTTGTGTACAAATGTTTTTATTTCGGCTGTTCACCACCCTGAGCCCGAAAGGAGAAGGGCGGTATACAAATCTAATAAAAGATAAAGATAAAGAAGATAAAGATGTATTCTACTGGAGTCAGTGGTGGGATTCAGCCGGTTCGTGCCAATTCGAGCGAGCTGGCAGTTAAATTGCTGGCTGGCCCTGCCCATTCCTGCCCCACCCCTTCCAGGAGTCCCCACGCACCCCATTTTGGCTCTCAGGTAAGTGCAGGGAGGCCTCCTAGGCCCAAAATATGGCATGGGGGAGGGGGGGCTCGCACTCTGCAGCCTCTTTTCGCTCCCAGAAGCCTACAGGGAGGCCTCCTAGGCCCAAAATGAAGTGCAGGGCGCTGCTGTGCGCCCCCCACCCCATTTTTGCTCCCAGGGGGGGTGCAAGGAGGCCTACTAGGCCCAAAACGGGGCATGGAGGGGTGGTGTGTTCCCTCCCCTGTAGTCCGTTTTTGCTTCCACGGGGGTGCAGGAGGCCTGTCACACCCCCTGGGCATGCCCACCATGGCCACGCCCACCCAGCCAGTCATTAAGGCAGAGAACCGGTTGTTAAATTATTTGAATCCCACCACTGACTGGGGTCCTTGATGCTCCCTGAGCTTGGTTGTTTTCTTTCAGACAAT